GTAAGCTATAATCGAAATTAACATTCACTACATCTAAGCAGTCTGCTAGAGTAATATTAGTGTTGTAATACCAAGTTCCTACACTTGAAGGCCCACATTCAACATCGTTGTTTCAAAAAGTCTGTTATTGAATTAAAGTTGATTTCGGATTCGCTCCCACTATAAAAGATGTCGATTTTCATAGGTGAGAAAATCGCGCAAAGGTTCTCAGGTGCACGCATGGGCTTTCAACTCTCTTGGTTTTCACATATGACGTCATCTATTTTATCAAATTAAAATGATAATTCTCGAAATGAGAGCTTATTAACCATCACAAAAACATTCACATGAGTTTTCACAGCATCGCTTATAATTTGCAGTCGAAATGGTAGAAGTTGAATGTGGGAAATCGAAGTGTCACGCAGCGGCACTTGTCTTTTGAATGTAATTTCAAACAAAAGACAGCAATTTGAATTGAAATGTTCACAATAGATAAAACGAACATATACAAGTTTTGATGCTATATGAAGACATTTGAAGATTTCGACATTCGAGTTACTGTCCTTCATGTTTGTGTACTGAAGGTGTAAACGATCAAGGCATCAGTAACTTCAGTAATTAAAAAAACAAGTAGTACTCTAATTCTTTCAAATTTGACTAGAACATGCACTTTTAAATGCTTTATAAGACCATATATTTAGGGTATCGAAATATACTATTGATTCATCTGATTTCACGCTAAATTACTTTTAACTATTCTATTAAGCTCCGTTTATACGAGCAATTTTTCCTTGACAAGGAAAAATTGCTCGTGTAAATATAAATGGGGTAAAATGGACAATTTTTCCTTATCAAGGAAACGCCAGCATGTTCGCTTTTAGTTGACAAGGAAAAATTTGCTCGTGTAAATGGACCGAAGGAAAATGTGGCAAGGAAAAATTGTCAAGGAAAACTTGTTGACCATTCAAACGGACCATTCAAATTTTTCCTTGTCAAGGAATACTTGTTCTTCGGTTACACTAGCAAAGAAACATTGTCAAGGAAAAATTGTCGAGGAAAACGCGTTGACCATTTACACGGTCAATTTTTTCCTTGTCAAGAAACTTGTCAAGGAAAAATTGCTCGTGTAAACGGCGCTTTAGTCACGGTGAAAGACGCTATGTGAGGCCCTCGCTATACGCCGAACTTCACATGAGACGAATACAACTCTTTTTAAGTCGACTTTAATGATTAAATACGTCATTTGATTTAGACGCCGAATTTTAAGTGACGAATTTAATTCCCAATCCCCTCTCGGTCAAAAAACTCACAATAAAACTCACTTTTTCATCTCTCTAATTTTCATCCCTTTACAACTACCGATGCTTACTCTTTTACTCATTTTCTTCTCCTCGCGTTTCGCCATCCTTTCGTCTCTTTATTCTTCTCCCTGCCTGTCCATTCCCATTAATGTATGTATTGCATTTGGCACATGTGAGATACGTCGTATAAATCAACTGCCGCACCATTGCCGTATCTTCGACTGTTTAAGTCGCAGATTCCACTGAAGTCGTATTTAATCCAATAATGTCGAATTTAATTGATTTATACGCCGTATCTCACATGCATCAAATTCGTGAATTGTATTCGGCACATGTGAAGTTCGGCGTATAGCGCGGGCCTGAGCTACAACACTCATGAATAACCTTTTTGAATTCTCAGGTGCTGAGRGCAATTTTGCCATACAATCAGAACATGTCGACCAAAGCATTCCTTACGACTGCGACTCTATCCTGCATTACGAGGGTGGCGCATTCCCCGCCAGCCCAGGACTGAAAACAATAACCTCTACGTACTGTTCTGCTCTGGGAAACGATGATAAAAGGTTATCGCTGCTGGACTACAAACGCATCAATAAATTATACGGCTGCGACGATCCAACCTGTAAGTAAAAAGTATTCATTATCATTATCACCATCAGTGTGCTCATCATTAGCATAAAATGACTGATACTAAAAGCGTGGTATCATCACTTCTAGAACTCATTAATAATTCATGAGCTATTAGTCAAATGAGCATCGAACTGTTGGGTCACATGTTAGTCACATTAATCAGTTCTATATCAGATATATAGAACTGATGTTTTATTAATCTGTTCTATATCAGATGTTCAAGGTCATCAGCGCTTTATCGCAATCCAACACTAGCAAAGGTCTCAGTTTTAATGTCGCATCATAGACCTTTGCTAGGTTTTAAATCAGTTTGAATCAATGTGCAGACATGCAGTATAGCATAGACTAGCCGTTCTTACGTGTGGGATCAAAATTCTTTCATTTGGTGCAAATGCACATGCTCAGTAGAAGTTTAATATGCATAATTACCGTTTTCACATTTTTTAAAATATTTTTTTTTCTAAAACGATAATAATTTATTTCTGGATGTTGGAGTTCTGAGGTAGTATAAAAAACTCGCAGTCGTGCTTTATCGGGGATATATAGTCGATTGACAAAAGGTTGTCGTCGACCTGACTTCGTAGCACACGACTCACCCGAACAGGTTTCTGGGTAAAAATCAATAAACTGACAAACACCTTCTCGTATAGTGTCAATTTGTTTCGGCTTTTTTTCTCTTGTTCCCCGCCATGGTAAACAATGTGAGATGCCAAAATAAACATCACATGCATGCATAATTAAATTCCTGTGATTTTGAAATTTTTGTCACACATTATGTGTCACTTCTTCCAATAGTAAAGCCGTTTAAATTTCTAATTTGCCAGTTCATTGATTTTTACCCAGAAACCAGTTCAGGCTAGTCGTGTTTCGTGAAACCCGCCGGTCGACGACAACCTTTTGTCAATCGACTATTCGGTCTCGTGTCTATATCTCCCGATAAAGCACTCCTGCTCGTTTTTTTAAACACTACATAAAGTGTGTGAGGGGCACGCTACCTCACTTAAACAGTGTAAAACTTTTACTAATTCTCGGCGGTGATTGCAAATCACGCCCTTTCACTTGTCATATTCAATACCATTTATGTYTTGGAATTTTTTTCAAGATTGCGTTCTGTGATTAATTGCAATTTTGAAATGTCTTGCCCTTCTACAGATGTCTACTTTACCGTGAGAGTACAGACAGACGGCACTACTCTCAGTGGCTCTGGAACCGATTGTTTTATTTATCTAAAACTACACGGAGAATCAGGAACTTCCACTGAATTCGAACTTGATCTTGATGACGCAGGCTCATCAGATCTCTTTGAAACAGGATCGTAAGTGTTGGTTGTGTTTTATTTTTGCTTAGTTTTGAAAAAATGACTGAAAATTACCCACCCCTACCCCCAAAGTTTTTGTTGTCAAAAAAGTATTATGGTATTGTAGAGTCAACAATGGGAGCAAGCTCAAATAGGTAAAAGATGCATAATAAAACAGGAAATAAGCTTTAAAAATGAAAAATAAAGCATATTTTACATTTTTGAAAACTTATGTGTCAAAAACTGGTTGTCATGGCAACATGGATGAAGATATCAACATAAAAGCTATGTCAAAATTTGCCTAGATAAATTTTAGGGAAAGTGCAAATGTTTCAGAGCTGTAGCTAACTCGATGGGGGAGGGCTTTTGTCTGAAAAGAGTAAACATGGCCAGAAAATCCGGACATTTGAGTCCGCAATCGCAGCGTTACTTCGCATAAATGCATACAAACATGTTTGTAAATTTTACAAAGAAATGTATGGATCAAAAAAAATATTTGAGAATAACATTTCATCTGTTTTAACTGGAAAGATTACATAGATGAATTCGTAGAGGGAAACTATTCTTGATTCCACTGTAGGAAATCCAAATAAATCCAATATTGTTAACAGCGTCCTTTTTGACAATTTGTTTTCCTTTCGTCGTCTCCCTTTGGCCTTGTATCTCATGGTGAAAATTCGCGAAGAAGCGAAATTTCACCGTAGCTGATCGTGTTCCTTTACATATCACTGATATTCCATCATTTCTCAAAGTCCACATATTGAGGTAGGAACACAGCGATTTTCAGCTATTTTGAAGACGATCAACAGCGTTCTTTTTGGTACTAGAAATCGTACAATTTGAAAACACTAACTTGACGGTGAAATGGCTGGCGAAGACTCCTGTTTCACGAATAATTGGCTTCGATCTTCCATTTTCTTTTCATTTTATTCGCCATGTTTGGTACCAAAATAAACCTTAGAAACGTGGCTTTCAGACTGAGACTGCTTTAATTTTGGTGGTTTTTACTGGCGCCTTGCGCGCAGTGGTAAATAGCGGGAAATACGAACGAAAGATCAAGTCTACGCTATTTAGTGTAAACAATGTCAGACCTTTTAAATTCCTTAGAAATGTACAAGTATAAACAAAAGATCACAATATCAACTGATGATCATTGTTGTTTAAAATACCTGAGGGAAACGTGTGTTCCAGCAAATAATATTATTTACACTATGAACATTCCAAACGAGCACCTCACAAGCCACTAATGAACTCAAGGATCAGGGCGTGCTATCCCAATACTCGTTTKTCGATGTTTTGAACGTTTCGATTTTAGCCCCGTATTGTATTAAGATAAAGGATGGATGCACAAGAGTAGAAAATTTGATCTTCAAAAGTTCAAACCTCAAGGGAACTTGTAGAAAGCTCTATTTTGGTGAGAAAACCCGCTGACTCGTCCCGGGCTCAAATGTCCGGAATTTCTGGCCATGAAAAAATAAAGCGGTATACGCACTCGTTGAATCTTTGCCATTTCATTGAATAAACCTCTAAACTTCAGATATGGATGTCATGTAATGTAATGCATATCCCTATTTGTATTGGTGTTTTCAGGGATGACACATTCAGTAAGATGGCCTACAAAAACAATCTGGGCTCAATAACCGGCATTTCGGTTCGCATGGTGAGCCATGGGTCGTATGAGGCATGGTGGCCAAATACGGTAAGATTGGTTAATTGGCTAGTTGTTTGGTTGATTGGCTGGTAGATTGATAGGTTGTTAGGATGAATACATGGTTTCTTACCTTTTGTTTGTTTTCTTGTTTACTTGATAGTTTGGCTTCTTGCCTGTCTGTCTGCATGGCTATATCTTTGATTATCTTTTCCATTTCAGTTTATAGTAACAGATCCTGTGAACAGCCAAACGAAGACTTTCACGAATAGTAAATGGCTCTATCCGAGTGAAGTCTATGGCACAAGTAACTTCCCCAAACAGACTTAATGTACTCGGCGGCTTGTATCCCTCTCATCATTATTGTGAAATTGCAAACCAACAAATTAATTAGATGCACAGACTATTGTAACTGAGTTTCTTAGCAGGAAAGACAAAAAACACCTACTAGTATTGTAGCTAGTACTTCTAAAAATGTAATCAATGCAATAAATGGGGAAAAAACAATCAAGTGGTATTTTAGCAAATAATTTTAGTGTCTACTCTCTGCATTCATAGTCGATTATCATCATTTTGGACCCGTTTGCAACAAATCCCCTTATAAGTAATTGAGTGAACAGTAGACCAATTAYAGAGCATKGGAACGCAGCTCCAAWTGGACGACAAAACAATTTATTYRAGTTCCTATGAGGGCAAACATCTATTGTTTTGTCTTCCAGATGGATCKGCTTTGACRTCACATACAAGGGTTTATTTTAATTCTTATAAGAAACCCGCCACACAACATCCAGCCATCGACAATTATTTCCCTTTCCCCTGCCCATATACATCCCACCTTCTATTTTATCATTATCATTTCCCTCCCCTTCTTTCAGTTTCCTCACACATTTTCGCTTACATCCATTTWTCTATTTTTTTTATTTATCTTTGTACTTATTTGTTTCTTTGTTTTCTCTATTTCTTTATTTACTAGTTGTTTATTTATTAAGTTCTTTGTTTTTTCAGTCATTTTCTTTCATTTCTTCCCTTCCTTTCCCCATCTATTCATCCCTCTATACACCTTCTCTCCTTTACATTCCCATATAAACTTCCATTTTATGTTCATTATTTCCTTTCTCTTGTTCATTCATATTCACAAAYCACACACACACAMAAAAAAAAAACACCATTCACACAAAGAAAAAAGAATTGAAAAATAATGTTTGTGTTGCATATGGAACATGTGAGATACGGCGCATAAATCAAGTGCCGCACCATTAACGTATCTTCGACTGTTTAAGTCGCAGATTATACAGTGAAGTCGTACTTTAATCCAATACTGTCGAATTTAATTGATTTATACGCCGCATCCCACATGCATTTAATTCGTAAATTGTATTCGGCACATGTGAAGTTCGGCRTATAGCGCGGGCCTCAGTAAATTCTGCWTGGAAGGAACTAAACATTAGTTAAATGCCCACGTGCGTCCGGGAACTTCTTCACATATGAACTGGTCCGTAATCTTATAATATATATTATATCAATGATAGAATTTCCGACGATATGTATAGAATACAGAACGCTATGGATGTTTCCAGATTCCTTTACTTTTTTTTTGTAAAAACTAGAATTGACACCAAATTTAATTGTGAATTTCTTATTTGTTGTGCGATTTTCCGTTTTTTTGTTTGTTTGTTTATTTGCTTTTTAGTCGGTCGCAGGCCTTAGGCCTGGGCACGACTTAAGTTCTACCTTTTGTTCAATCTATCAATCTATCTATCAACGTCGCGTATAGTCCCCCATGATGCTTTACGAACTTAAAAATGGTCACGTGGCCTGATAACAAAGGAGACCCAAAGTCACTTAAAACAAAATGGCTGACAGACGGCGGCAAAAAGTTGTCACGTTTTAAATGGGTCTAAAATGTAGCTAAAATACCTTAAAGAGCTGAAAATCTAACAAAATCAACAGACTAACATCCAAATGACATGGAATAAGGTATATAATTCAAGGTTGTCGGATGATTCGTGCAGAAATGACTGGACATTTTCTACCGCCGACACGAAGAACACTACGTCGCTACAACAAGTGCTCGATGTCAATCACAAAATCTTCAAAAAATAAGAAATCACATGGATATTCAAAGTTGATACTTTGACAGAAGAATAATTATTCGATGGACTAAAACATATCAAACCTCATCTGAAAAATATTGATGCCATTTTCTAAGCTGACGATGTGTTTGAAGTTGAAAACTGCACGTGTACGTGCTTGCTGAACTCTGTAAAAAATCTGTGTATGAAGCATTTTAATTCTTTATTAGAATTTGTTTTGATGAYTGTTTAACTTGAAAAACTTAGACAAATCCAAAAATATAAACTGTCAGGTACACCTGTTTGATGATGGCACAGAACACCAGATGTAAAATCATAAATTACAAATACAACAAAGACACCAAATAAAAAGAACAGAAACACAAGTTAAATCTTACATGATTCAAACAATCAAAATAATTTTCAAAGTTATATCACTGCACGAAAAAATGATTTCACTGCATGTGTGAATATGGTGTGAATTTCGAGGTCTATATTCACATCATATTCACCTCAAGCCGAATATGATATTCACTGTTGCGATATATATCGAGAAAAAGTGAAGTGAATCTCTAGATTCACGCTAAATTCTCAACATATTCATAAATATTGTAAATTCGATGTTCAAGGAAGGCCCGTACGCTAGTACTCGCTTTTCAGGAAAGTCGTGATTTCAGCTGTGTGTAGAGGCTAGTATAAACGTACGTGGCGTGGACTAGGGGACCCTTTTGGTTCGAAGAGCTTGATTTGATTGTGTTTTTTTTTATAGTGAATTTATTTTTGGCGATGTCTTTTACGCTGTGTTAAGCCGCGGCTACACGAGCGATTTCTTGCTTGCGCAGGTGACGCGATTTTCTCAAAATCACCAGCGCACGATGTGACTACATGAGCCTCAATGCTGTATCGACAAAAAAATCATCATAAATAAAGCTCAAATTCGATGTTTAGCTTTCACCGCACCTAAAAATCCGGTTGTCTATCTGCGCAAGGGAAAAATTGTTTGTAGCCGCGGCTTTCACTCTCAAAACAATTCAATAAATTATTTTATCACGAATGGACGTGCAAATGCAAGAGATGCCGTGAGTACTGAAAGACAATAGAAAAAGTTTGAAATGTCACGAGTTATCTAATTTTCTGAATTTTTCGTAATCAATTTATTGCGGTTAACACATTATAAAACACAGCGCGAAACAATATAGATCAGACACTTTTACATGAAGCTCATAGAGGGACAAGGCAGTATAAAACTCAAAACTAGCAGCATGCTTGCAGGAAAAAAACCTTTGGATAAGTATCTAAAAAAAACCTTCTRAAATGTTATTGCTTGGCATTTAGTAAGACAACCTTAAGGAATTATCTGGGCTCAATTACCGGCACCACGGTTTGTCTGGTGAGCAATGGATGGGGAACGGTATATGGTGACAGCACCGATATTTTAAAAGATATTAGTGGACCTATTGACTTGTAGATTCATTGCTTGGTTGTTGATCACTTCCAACCCTGACTTGGGTAGCGCAAGGATCTCAAAATACTGACCCTATATTCCCAGTAGATTTTTCATGTACTCAGTGCACCAGATTAAACCTTAGGATTATACACCCTATTTTGCTGATTTTCAAAACATATTTTGCTTGCTCGCTTGACCCTTGCTTGCTTTGCCTGCCTGCCTGCCTGTCTTCAAAACGGAAAAATACCAACTTTGATTATTACTTCTGAAACTGTGGTCAATCCAATAAAWAGGTAAAAATCATCAATTGCATTACTGTCTTATGCTCAAATGAGGAATAAATCCAAAAATTAGCATGATCTGAATGATAGGATCACAGAATTAGTTAAAAGCCCACTTGAAAGAAACGAAGATAAAATGCTCAATTTGCAATTTGTTTGTTTTGTTTCTACTTTTTTTTACAAACTAAACGAAACCTGTCGTAATGAACTTAAATAAATTACATCATGGAAAAGCTATGGTGACCTCATTTCTGTATCTGATTATGCTCATTCTAATCCTGAAATTTCTCATATCTTTAAATATGAATAGTACCTTAATGAATACATTTTTGGAAGTATGAAGTATGGGTATTCTTATAACTATTATTAATTATTCCATGCCGATTTCGATTGCGGTTTTCCAATAGTTATGTTGACTACTATAATTCAAATATCATCCAATTTAAATCGGTTGTAAATCTGAGAGAAACAAGTGACGGCCATTGCTGGACTTAATAAATTAATAAATCAATTGTGAATAAGTTATGCAACGTTCGTAAAGTTCCTCTGGTTGGCCTCGCTGCGCTGAATCATTTTTAATTTTCCTTCAAAGGACCCTAAAATAATTTGGCATTTGTTTTAAGAATCCTTAAAAGATTAGGAAATATCCGTAATAGATTGTTTTCCTGATATAGTTTAATGGTAGGTAGGTGTCAGTTCAAATTATGGTAGCACTGCCCTCTCTCTTACAAATGTCAATTAAAAATGCCGTTCGTCCAATCAGATCCCGGTATTYGGTTGTATGTCGTTTGGTGTTGGATAATATCATAGTCTACCAGTTACTGCGATTCACAGTCTCAAGACCGTGAAAGATGAAGGTTATTGCTTTAACTTTGATTCTTTCAAACGTTGGTAAGTCACTTTTATAGCGATATAAGCTAATATTGAGATAAAACTATTCTATTGAGGCATAAATTCAGCCAGTGCGATGTGAAATATTCATTTTACGCTTAATCTGTGAAGGATTAGACTGCTAAGAAACACGTTAAAGTAGGAACAGAAATAGTTGTTGATCCTAGGCTAGCGACTGTATACTTTTAAGTAGGTTGATACTAAGCCCCCCTCCACTCGATGTCCACTAATATCCCAGCATTTTTTGTTGTTTTATCTGGAAAGTTTTGCAAACAGTCGCCATATATAATGAATTTAACAGTCTCCAAAGTTATTTTTCAAAAAAAGGTTTGACAACAGATATGTACTGTGGACATACGGTCATATTCACAAATTTTGAAAAAAAAACTTTTTAGTTATTCTAGTCCAATTATTGACAAAATAAATGAGTTAGTACCCGTCCACACGAGTCCAGATATTTTGTATCAGCAAATTTTATTTATTTTTGATACATTGTAACCGTTTTGGCGTCTTCGAAGTTTTCCATATACGATGTTTGTACGCGAAAATGCATGAAATGATCGTGTAGACGCACGTATCCGAAATATTTTTTACGATGACATCACAGAATGTTAGCGCATGCTCTGTGGACTCATCTTCAGGATTTGTATATGAGATTATATGATACACGTTGCTGGTCGTAGCTATCTTGTTTATTAGTTTATAAAGAACAAAAGAATAACATATTTAACTCATGAAACATACTACGATCTACCAAATTGTCAAACCATCAAGCATTCCGATTTTTCTATTGGATACTTAGGGTAGGTTCATACATAAGCAGAAAGCGAAGCAGAAGCTTGTTCACACTCATAATTCTTCAATACAAGTAGAAACAGAGGCAGAAGAAAATGAAAAAGTTTTCATTGTCATTTCCTTCTGTCTCTGCTTCTGTTTTCCCCGGTTCACAACTACAAAATACACTTCTTCTTCTTCTGCTTATGTTCACAATGTGAACAGGCCTATACACCCTTTTAATAAGTCCCGAGGTATTGTGTTTTCCGCACTTGACGTCAAATTTATTGTTTTTAAATTTTTACAATACAAAAGGAATTCAAAAGAATAAATTTGACGTCAAGTGCGGAGAACACAATAACTCAGGACTTATTAAAAGGGTGTATATGGCCTATCCACATATGCTCGACAAGGCATGGTTACCGTTGTTGCGATTAGAGCAATCTATCAGGTGCAATTATTTTGAGTTTCTTCGCAGTCTTATAGAGACTTATAGAGACTTACAGTGATATAGTTCATTTGTTGTGTTTAGCTTATTGCAGGCATGCTCCTCTATTCGATGGCACTGATGCAACTTTACCGAAAAACTTGAAGAACAACACAGTCATGGATAGTATAGAAAAGGCAAATGGTATTTATGATAATCATATAAACCACAGCTTCCTGCTAATGAAATGTTGTCTTGGAACTCTTTTAGGTCGGCTTGATAGGCAAACAAAATTTGATACTTTTCTGCTGATTTAGTTAAAAACTCGGGATAAAATATTGTGTCTTAGGAAAGAAAATCAATGAAAAAAGCTAATTGTCATTATAATTTTCGACAGAAATTTWAAAAAAATCATRGACTTTTTATTCYGTWAAATGCCGTTTTGTTTCACAAAATGGCATGTKCTACAATCCTTAACTTAAAAGGAGTCAACRCAAGTTATTGTTTTTTCCTTCTTCAATCAATTCATCTTGTGTAGTATCGCTTTTCTCACTACCCTTTGCTCAGACTTCCCAGCTTAWAATTATAWAAATGTGTCATCCACAGAACACATGAGTGAAAAAGACAAGAAGGATGCTCATATATTTGARGGTGACATTGAACTGACCTCGAGTCTTGAAGGGAGTGTGGACACCAAAAACTGTAGCGARTCAGAAAACGCCAACGTCGACGTGGACAGCATCACGAATAATAGCAAAAGGAAAGCAATAAGATCCAGGCTTTTTGTATGGAGATCGAGAACTGTTCCTATCGAAATAACACAGGAAGTTGGTATGATGAACTGTTTCAAACATATCTCAGCAACTTTGAATATGAACAAACATCACCTTGGGCTGTATGATATAATTATGAATAAATGTATCGCCCGAAAAATAAATTCGCTCATGATTKTCTGAAAACATTTCATAGTCTTGAAATTGAAAACGCGTATCGTAAAACAAGTATAATTCATATGTTCTTAAYGTCTATAAATGGTCCCAATAGTCTCCTTCACGGTTTCCTGCCCCATCTTGGAAGGTAACCGTGCCTTTCCATTGAAGTAAGAAGACCKTCGAGCARGACATGATAGAAACCTTGTTTCACACCAACAGAMAATTATCCATACGTATCTATCATTGCACGCTCAACGATCGTCTCGCTTCAATACAAAGGCACGGCTACCTTTCAAAATTGCGCAGGTAACTGAAGATGACTATTGYCCCTAATTAACGCTGYTAACATTGTTCGACCCTTGAAGAAACTAGAACATAGCAAGTTGCATTTGGGATGATATGGACACCAGGCCTGAGATATGATTCTAATTAGCTATTTATTTTCAGCCAATGAAAAGAATGGAGAGAAAAACGTTTGGGATGCCACAAAAGAAATAGAAAAGAACACTTGTGTGAAGTTTCGAAAGAAACGATCTGGCGATAAGTATTGGATCAAGATGTTCAAAGGCGGAGGGTAAATATTAATTTTTCACACATTGTATATAGTATAGTCATTTTCTAMGATAATATAAAATGAAGACTAGGCTGCTATTTGGAAAATGTTGAATAGCGATTTCAAGCTTTCGCTTTCTAGAGCATCGTCAGGAGATAAGTCTTTCCCTAATAGCAGCTGAGGAAGGCTTTATTTTTTGACTTCATAGGATATATACATTGTAGATTCAACTTTTCAAGGGAGGCTTTGGAGGGCAAATGAAATGTAAAAGCAAAACTTGTCTTTTTTCTCAATCATCTTTTAATATCTTGTGATTTCATCATAATTATGCTTGCAGCTTTCATTATTGATTATGACCATGTGTTATCATCTCCAGGTGCTTTTCAAAGATTGGACGTCAAGTAGGAATAAGAGGCGGTCAACCCCTATCAATAGGACCAGGATGCAACAGTGTAGCTGTCATATTACACGAGTTGCTTCACGCCCTKGGTTTTTGGCACGAGCAATCAAGAACAGACAGAGATAAATACGTCAATATCTTATGGGAAAACATCGTAGATAGTAATTCAATTTTCGTTTTAATTTCTTGGCTTCATTCCTTGAATTTCTACTATTCTTCTAGTATTCAAGCCGCAATTTAAAAGTTTTTAAATTTAAGCCCATATCAAGATACGCTTGAATCGTAAAATTTTTTCTTTGCAAATCATGTACCTTCATGTCAGCACGAGCGCTACAGATGCCACCTTGTATACGGAAAAAAATATTGAATATTGAAAAATATGATATATCATATTGCATTAGAAAGCACGCAGTAGTATACTCGTAGGCGTTCAATGGAGATTTCATGGTTCCAGAATTATGGTAGAAACTCCGTAAACTGTCAAAAACTTCAATGAAAAGTAATTGAGTTTAAAATTGTCATTTTGTAACGCAGCTAACATTGAGTTTAGTGTCAACAATGCATTTTTCGGTCATGCACTATGCATTATTTCGTCATTAATCAACGCTTTCTAAATTTTCAATTATTGCAATAAGGACTGACATTTACCAATTGGCGCTACCCTTGTCGTTGCCGAAAAGGCGAAATGCTATTATGCTCAGATGCTGTGCTGCGCCACTAATGAGCGCGCATGCGTTATTTTGGACTGAACAGGAATGAGCGGTGACCAAAATGTTTTATTCGCCCGTCAATTTATCATTGAAGCGAAAGCTAGTGTAGTGCCGCATTTTTGTTTACACTTCCCTTCATGATATAAGACGATCCAGATGAAGCTCTCCCTACCTTTTGGGCTTCCCATGTAATGGTTACATTAACCTATGCCTATGGATCAGAAAAAAATAGGAAAACATTAGTGATGCATAATGTTGATGTCTAACACCAAAAAAACTAAAACCCTTGCTTATACCTTGTATATAACTTTATTGATATAACTATTTTTTTTTTGTTTAACGGATGCGTTGAATCCTTTTTAATTACCTAGACATGCGAGGACAATTCAATAAGTACGAGGCCGGACAAATGGACATGGTCGGTGGAATGTACGACTTTGACAGTGTGATGCATTATGGGAACTATGCCTTTTCCAAGAACAGAAAGCCAACAATGCTGTCAATCAAAGATCCTAATTTGGCATTCGGGAGATACCGACCGACACTAAGTAAAGTGGACATTGTACAAATCAACTCTTTGTACAATTGCAAAAGTAAGTTAAGGTGGATTTACACGGTATCGATTGTCGCGTGCGACATGCAGCATGCGATTTCCCTAAATGCCGAATTAGCAGCGACACAAGTTTTTCCTACAACCATCGCATACAAACTGCTTAAGTCATTCTTCGACATGGCTACAACTGTCTCGTAGGTATTAAAAATACAGTTGCTTAATAGCCCCACGACATTTTTATTCATGTTATGAGGATGACTCCCCAAGATCAAACATCCAGTGTTTTGTCTTTGAACGATTATGAGTACATGCCATTGTATTAATAACGTTTTGTCCGTTACTGTCAGCTAAATCAGGGAGTTGGAGTTCGTGGACCGGTTGGGGACCATGTGATCTTGGTTGTGAACGGAAAAGAGAAAGGTTTTGCCTTGAAAAGTCTAAAAAGGGTTGTCCTACCGCTGACCAGCATGGGATCGAGACTCAAAAGCGCAAATGTGAGAAAGATGAATGTAACGGTAAGAGCTTTCAGTGATATCAAATGTAATCATCCTTTACCTGATCTTTTGAGTATGTCTTACGTCCATTCAAGCTCCAAATCTCCACTATTATGCCATCCAGCGTTCGTAAAAAGAAATTGTTTCATAATCTCCGCACATCCAGTTTGTTTCTCTTTCGTGTTCAATTTGTTTACTTTATTACAAGCTTTTATATATACAGTATTTAAACTTTTTTGATTGTACACAACTTTTTAACGGAATGGTACGTGAAAAACGACTCTTCAGTCCTATCCTCAAATTCTTTTCTTTATTACTTCAAAATACATCAAGATATTGATTCTGCATTTTCTTTGGAATTTCGGAATGACCCCCCAGCTATTTGTTGATTAACTATATGTTTCTTACCATATTTTTTATATCATCTACTGCCTCAGTAACTATTCCTGGTCATTGGGGCCGCTGGGGCACATGGGCAAGATGCAGCAGAACCTGTGGACATGGTTACACAACGAGRTCAAGAATGTGTAACAATCCCAAGCCACGAAGAGATGGAAAGGTCTGTGACGGGCCTTTTGTWGAAGCAGCAGACTGCATGATGGCAAAGGAATGCAGAGGAAAATAAAAACTGAGGATTGATTAAAAGGAAAAATAATAGAAAGCGTATTTGTAATTTATATATGTTTTTTATATATGAAATAGGAATGCATGTTCCACTTGAAAAATTCAGCAGACTGGCGAAATTGAAAAAGCCTGTAGGTGCAATTTTTCGAGTCTGGCTAATTATTTCTTAATTGGACTGTGTGGAGTTCTACTACCTGTTAATTATATATCTACACATATTGTACCTACTTAAGAGAAACAAGGAGATGATATATAATCGACATCATATCGTTGCGTACTTTTTTCGTTCTCACAGACACGGCAAGAATTGAACCTATTCGTTAAATACCCGTTTTTTTAATATTATAATCTTATCATTGCTATATCGCTTTGAGACACTAAAGCACTGAAATTGATCTGAATATAACTTGAGATGAAAGGGGTTAGGCGAATTATTCAGTTTTCCTTAGCCCTTTCGACAAGTGTCCAACAAACAAGCTTTGAGCTCCACAAACAAACAAGCTTTAACTCCATTTACCTTTTTTTTCAGTGACGTTATCCTATTATTCATTTTTGGCAAAAATGATATTTTTTGAGGGTCTCAATGGGGTGGTACGCATCACGACTCACGGCTAAAAAATTGGCGATTTCACGACTCACGACTAATTTATTCGAATCACGGTTAACTAGATTACTTTTAGAAATTTTTGAATTACGTTTTTCATTGCTTTTTCTTTTTTCGTATGAATAGACTGCGTGACTTATYCGTATGGACATGGATTTTTCTATTTCAAATAAGCCGAACTGCGACTATCCACGAAAAAATGATTAATCATAAATTCATAATACACAAACAAAATCCAAAAAGGGTTAAACATAGCAGGTATTGAGAACATAGTATTGACATTGCTGCAGTCCGTGTCAGACATCGGAGTTTACGAAATTTCATTAAGTGTCGCTTTTCGCGATGATGTAATCTATGCCGGGCTAAATGTGCATGGTAAAATCAGAAAGTTTGTAGCGTATTCATATTATTATTTGATTCTAAACAAAATTATAGTATTTTAAAATCGATATCTTATATAATTACTTTAAAATGTCAGATATATACCATGTCCGTACGAATAGCAAACGTAACTCGGACACTGGCTCTGTTTAAAAATTGATTCTCGGTTGCCCAATCGACGCGCTGTGAAAACTTATTATACGTTTAATGAAAACAAGCCAATGAAAGCGCGCTTTAAAATATCACATTATAGAAAATATATAGAAGTAATTACTAAATGAATCTCCAGATTTTGTAATTAAACATTAATGCATAGGAAGCTAATTCAAAGACAACAACAAAAAGCAAAAAAAAAAAGAAGAAATATGAAAAAAGAAAAAAACTT